TTCGTTTATTCTTAATATATAAACTACCAAATTTGTATAAAGCAATAGTTCTAGAGAAGTCTTGTGCAAAATAACTGAATACTACAGTTTCGCTTTCAATGGAGACTATTTATAAAGAAGTAGAACCTGACAGATGAAACAAATAATTTTGAAAATGGAATTGCAATTTGTGAAAGAACAATAATTTTGAAAATGGAATTGCAATTTGTGAAAAAACAATAATTTTGAAAATGGAATTGCAATTTGTGAAAAAACAATAGTTTGAAAATGGAATCACTCAAATTCATTGTAACTTAAAGAAGGATTAATATCTAAAAAAACAAAGATAGTAGATACTTATGAAAAGAAAGCTAAAATGATTCCCTACATAACATAATACGTCCCATACAATACAAAATTCACATATAAAACCAAGATATGAATAATAATAGTTGTTTATGACGATAGCATCAAATCGTAAGAATGATTGTGCCTTTTTATGTTCTGCTAAGTACAGGAAACGCTGTGCTTTATGTAGCGGTAAAATGAAACAGGCATCGTACAACGTCGGAATTAGTTGACAATAACACAAGCGGGTTGAGTGCGCTGAAAATAAAGCCGTCTACAATATGAAGCGCTGAAGCGAATTAAGATCTAATTTTAAACATATATTTAGACAGTTATAAAGTCAGTGGTGGCTCAGTGGTTAAAGGGCCCGCCTCTCGTCGCCGAGGACGCGGGTTCGATTCTGGCCCGGGCAAGTACCAATGTGATTTTTCAGAGTCATATGTACTTTCTAAGAGTATTTAGACATCACTGATTAATGTTGATTCCCAAAAGAGGGTTGATCTCAGGCAGGCGGCCGGTCGTAAAAACAAATAGCCAAAAACTATTCACAACATGTAAGGCAGACCCTGGCTATAGCTGGGAAATTGCCAGTTAGATTTTAAACATATATTTCTCGTTTTTAACTGTGTTTTGTTTTAAATATTTCTTGCATAGAAATAGAAACTATAAATAAAAGATGACGATTGTTATCTTAATGATATGTTATCAGTTTGATATGTGTAAGTACTTTATAGACTACCCACAGTCTAGATAGCAAGTCTGAAACCTGGCTACACGTGCTTGTTAACACTCAAGTACACTTGTATACACTCATAGTATTAATTTTAAGTGTAAAGATTAATATTTTAATTTAATATAAATTACGTCAGATTTTAATTGTCACGTTTCACAATACTATAACTCTATGAATAAAAAATGTAAAGCAATTTTGTGAGAATATTTTTTTCATATATTGACAACAAAACATAAATATATCAGTAGTATGTAAGATATGATTTAAATGTATGTCAATTTATTCATATAAGTAGCGACCACCCCATAGGCTTAAATTTTTACAATCCTCCCCAATCCCCGGCCAATGGGGATCCCAATCTATCCCGGGATAGGCAGGCGGGAGCGGGATGGACATTAAAGCTATCCCATTCACGGTTCACAACAATAAATAAATATAAGGGTTCGTCTTGAGATACAAAGTAAACATTCCCATACAAACAATCCTACGTGAACTAATCTTGTGATGATTTTACGTAATATATGTATATATATTATTAATAAATAGTTTTAATTATGGTATCAAAATTCAATTTTGGAAGAAAAAAATATTTTTCTCTCTCATAGTAGGTATACTCCTCAGTAGTCAGTAGTAATTTCGTTGGTATCTATAAAAATATATGAAATTAATTATTTGCTATATTAAAATAACCGCTTTTTTTATTAACTTTGTTTTTTTTTTTCTAACTTTTGTCTGTCTGTTCCCATTCCAACAACAAGAATGATGGACCGATTTTGTCAGGACTTTCACTGACAAATAGCTGAAATAAAACGAACGGGAGATAAATCTTATTTTAGAATTTTTGTTATTTATTTATAATATGAATACTAAAACATCAAATTGGTGGCGTCAATAGAAGTATAGACGAAGTGATTATATCTTGCATAGCAACATGTAAAAATATACAAAATACGTACAAAGGAAATATACTAGTAAAAATAACTTAATAAATATATGTTAGAATTATATAATTTTTGATAATTATTTGATTTCAATTCATATGTTAACACGACCGACCTTGCAGTTCACGTTATCTATAATAAGACGCGATTATTGTATGTTTGTATTACTTAATAAATAGATCATATATAACGTTAATGAAAATATTAACATATGTTTAATAAATATTAGACAAAAGGTCACTGAACCGGTCAGAAAAACGAGAAATAAGAATAATCAAATTAAAAAAAATATGGCAAGGAAAAATTATAGAAAACTATTTGTAAACAAAGAAACTCTAGTATTATTAACAAAGAATTATTCCTTTTTATCAAAGACATTTTAAAAGTCATAAAACTTTAATTTTATCGTCCTGCAGTTTCGCTTTACACGAAAGACCAAGCTGTATATTTACGGAGTTATTAATAATAAAAAATATTAATTCGTTAAAAACGCTTTCTCTATTGAATCCATGGAAATATTCTAGCCTTGTCCTACCTACGGTTAGTTGCATCTTGCATCTCTTTCCAACCGTTTCGCATACATTTTTGAATTTCGAAAACCGCGCCGCCATTACAATTTACAGAGCCATTTTAGTGCTAAGTTTTATTTGAAACTTATCCGACGTATAGTCTTACGTTCGTTAGTTTTAAATTTCAATGTATATTAAAACTTTAATGCATTTTATTATTGCTAATGTGTGTAAAATGTATATATCAACTTTATTAATTCACAATATGAATAAGCTGCCAAATTGAATACGTAGTGTTGTTAAATTATGTGATAAGAAATTATTTCGTCCGATAACAATATGATAAGCCATTAAAGACGTTCTTTGCCGAATTTTGAGGTAGGTCATGTTATCATTTACAAACAATAATAAAATTATGTAAATTTAATTACCGTTTTTATATATATTAATGAAAATACAAAATATGTGTATATGTTAAAATAATTCTATTGGAATATATGATTCATATGTTTGCTTACAAAATGCATCGTTGGCAGAATAATCTGAATCTCATTTCTTCTAAAAAAAGCGGTAATTACGTAGATAATTAATATTTAATCAATGATAAGATTACTGTAAGTGTAATCTGACCACTATGTATTAATTTTTATTGACCGTGAGTTATTACTATCTACATACAACCATTCACACATACGAAGAAAACGGCTAAAATACTGGTTGAGTAAATTAAACGTTTCAGGAACATTCAGATTAAAAAATAGAGCGAAAACAATGAAAAGAACTAAAGGATTGATTTGAAAATCGGTACTGCTAAAACTCAATATGGTTTTTTCGTTACAAGAAACTCTATTGAATCTTTTTACTGTAGTTATTTAAATATGTATATATTTTTTCGTTAAGTTGTTCTCAAATATTATTTCAGGTCGATAAGTAATTTACAAGTATTTGAATAGTAAAACAAGCATTTTTCAATATATTGATTTTTTTTACCTTTAAAATAAATTATTCAAATATTATATTCGATAAAAAATATGCGATTTAATAGAAGCTGTACATATATTACATCAATAATTATAAAACAGATCACAACATTGGAAGCGTAACAAGTTAAGTTTCAATATGAAAAGCGTCCCGTGAATAAGAATACAATCTGTATGAAACGATACTTTGAAAGGGTAACCTATTTACCCTAACCACAATATTATACCCCTCTACTTTATTCTACTCTAATATATCATATCCTTAACCTACAAACGGTTATACAAGTTCAAGAGCACACAAGTGCCCTCTACAATTGAAACTTGAATCATTTAAGTGTTGACAGCATAGAAAAATATTTAATTATTATTATTATTTTAATATAACCAACCCAATTCTTGAAATTAGCATAATATTTCTGTTTTCCTTTACATTTAGTTAGGACGATTGTTTTAGTTTTTATAATAAGACGATTAAAAAAATATAGGTTATAATTATAAATTATGCAAATAATGAATAATTTCCATAGTATAATGAAGATGACAACATTCTATTATCAAAACTATTTAACAATTGATGATAAAATTAAATCGAGAATTTTAATTATTGTTATTTTTTTATTTTAATTAAGGAAAATATATAAAATAACACCTACTTAATTACCTGATGCCTTCGAGAGACATTTAAATAATTTATTTTTAATTATAGCATGTCTGTCTGTGTGCTTTGTTAATCTCTAAGGGCTGGTCAGATTTTAATGGGATTTTTTCTGGCAAATACATCATGAAATAAGGAGTACCTTAAGTCACTTTGTTATACGACTTTTATTTTAATAAAATTATTAATATTTAACAGATAATTTTTTCGAAATGACAAAGTCGGGGGAAAAGATATTATAAATATATTTATTTAATTCCGTTTTTACTTGGTCATGAACAAAGACTCAGTAATTAAGACGCAAACTTAAAAAAATAAATGCCTTAAAAATAAAGTATAGAACATAGTCATTTTTCAAAAAATCAAAAATTATTATTTGGTCACAGTTTATTGAAGAATTAAATTGTACACATACCTATATTTTTTAATTCTAACTTTTCTCTCGTTCAGATGAAAGCTACAAAACAAGCGCCAACAACATTCTGTCCGTTTAGTGTTTAATTACGTGTTTCTCGAACTACTTATATAAAAGTTTATATCGAGCATTATTTCCAAGCAGTAACAAATAATTATAATACAAAAAATTGCACATTTTAACATTTACGCACTGACAATGGAACGTATTTTACGATATACATACTTATTTACAAATATGTATTGACAGTTTTCATATTTGATAGTAAAAGCATATAAAATAAATGTCACTGCTCTTATCACTTTTTTTTTGAGTTATTTTGAATTTATTAGAACAATTAAAAAATTGGTTCGTTAATATAATTTGTATAGTGGCAACATTCGTATTAGAATTTGTATTGTATTAAGTATCACGTTATCTTATCAATGATACGCACTAACCTGGTTGCTGTGGCGGCAGTAGAGGCGGCATGGTCGGCTGAGGAGGCGCGGATGCTGGGGCAGCTGAATACGGAGACATGCCGGGAGGAGACTCGGGAATTGAATCACAACTGGCTGAGCCCAGCGATCGACGGTCTATAGCAGCCGGGGGCGGCACCACGGGACTCCTAGGAGCCTTCACTGTCGGAGGCTCTGGCCTATCTAATTCTATCCCTGGTGGCTGAATCCCTGTCTCTAGAGCCCGCGCCCGCGCTTCATCCTGCGCTTGAGCTCGCCGCAACGCCGTCTGCAGAGCCATAACCCTCTGCCTGTCGGCGGTGAGACGACACTTCTCACAGGTACAGTAGCGGTACTTGCAGTAACGCTTGTGACCTTTCAGCTCGATCTTTAGCCTGTGGTTGCGACAGCGGGCGCAGTTCGGCGGCGCCCGCGGGACTCCGGAGCTGGAGGCGCCAGGTTCCGACCTGTCCTCACAGTCGTCGGGAGTGCGGCGCCTCCACGCGCCCACGGACACCATGTCTGCAGTCTCGTTGCCGGCCGTTTTGTTTTTTTCGCGCGCGTTTGTCGCGACGCTCACGGGACACGACGCGCGGTGAGCGCTCACTACTCACGAAGCGACTGATTGTCAGATCGCCTCGCCAGCGCTACACTGTCCCGCCCCGCGCGCCACCCCGCCACTGCATTTATTGCTGTGCACGATGCTGAATGCATTTCCTATATCTTTTTATAACTATATGGAATATCCTGCGGTACAACAGAATCGTGAACTAACGATCTAATGAGGCTAATGATATCTCAGTGCTTTGATGCAAAACTAGTTACGAACCTCGCAGTATAATCCTGCTACAGGGTGTTAAAAACATTACATATTAACTTTACATATTTTATTTTATTCTGTAATGTATCTGTATCACACTTACTGATTTTTTTCACTTGTGATACATTTTCAGTATACTCTAATAACATTTAAATATAGTCTTAGACCGCTATAGAAAACGACACCAGAACGAGTTAATTACACGATACAATTATACAAATAGATATCAATTGATGTGTTGCAAGCGACAATCAACTAGGAGCTATCATTGATTTATCTTTAATGGCATCAATATTAAATATAAGATAGAACAGTAATAAATGCTCCGAGCGTTGTTGCACCGCCATAAAATCGCTTGCGATGTTCTTGCATCGTAATCACACGGCGAATTCGTGAGAGTGTTGCGTGTGTGTGGGTGTGATGCGTGTGTGTGAGTGTGCGTGTGAGTGTGTGCGTGTTGTTGTTTACGTTACATAACACATATTAGGAATGTTGAAATATAAAATTTTATTAAATTACTACTTTTGATAAATAATAAATAAATCATTGTATAATTAAATAATTGCAATTTATTGTAAATTATTGAAATAGGTATATAATATATTCAGTATAACGAAACTCCAAATTATACTGCAAATATTTTGCAATACATATACAATTAAGTGACGTAAAAGTAGGGATACATAGATTTTCTTATTATAAGAAATTATATTGTGAAAATGTGAGATCACAGACAATGTTTTATAGTTTATACTAATTAATATAAATTTTCATTATACTGCAAATTCAAGAGATATAAAAAATACAATAATATAACTCTTTACAAGAAATTTACACTCTAAGAATTTAAAGGCCATTTCTAAGTTAGAAGCCCTATATTCCGATTTTCCCGCTTTTTCAAATTACATATTTAAAAATATATAGGTATTTTTTATAACCATAAACACTAACTCTTTAATAAATCTACGTTCATAAATGATAAATTGTTTTAATAATTAAGTTTTCTTTTAATTAATTCTTTTATTTCAACCAATAAGTTGCGACAAACAGTAACACGCATCGTTTACGACGTGACTGTCGCTACGCTTGAATGAAAGACCATCTGTACTTGTAAGAAGTGGCCACACCAAAACTATAACTATCTCCCTCCTACTATGACAGTTATATGCGTGTGAGAGAGACGGATATAGTTCTGACAGTGTGGATACAGTGACGTCACGACACACTTATTCACAGACACTACACATACGCAATTTGCGAATATGTGTAACGTGTCAGCAATTTAACGAGTTATATTTTTGCATTAATTTTTTATTTATTAAAATTGCAGATATATTAATATGAATATTAAATAAAAACTCCTTTGTTAGCTAAAGAAAGACATTAAAAAATGCATTCTGTTTTGTTCTGATTATAATTTTTTTAATATTATTTCAATTCTTAGCATAAAATTTAATATTCACTCAACATAAAAAATATTAACAGCTTTTCAGTAATAAGTCTTCCCACGTTATATTAATCTAAATATTGAAAGAGTAAAAGGAAACTTCTTAAAATATCTTTCCTAAAATTTTATAATATTTATAAACACCTTTCCCTCCTCTAACCTCTCCCATGAAATGTGTCCTTGTCTGAAATAAATAGCGTAATATATATAATATTACATATTAAAATTTCATTTTTTTATTATTTTTGTACTTATTTTAAACTTAATAATCCTATAAAATATGAAGTGTCCGTCATAGACATAAATAAATATAGCTACAATATTATAACCTATGGTAAAGAAACAACTGTGACATATTTTTAATCTTCTTATTAGTTATTACAAAAAAAAATCCACAAAATACTTTAAATAATACCCTATATATTTTTTATTAGTATCAATTAAGTTGTCAAAGGATATTGTAGAGTTAAGTGTACATATTATTAAAATAATAATAATAATTAAAAATGTTCTGACAGACAAACCGCGGTCGCCATATTGGCCATGACCACCATAACAAAATTTCACTCATGTTCATTTTAAAACCAGTCTACATTACAGAGGGAATCCGGGGTTTTCATGTTGTATAAATAAAATCAATCTAATTTTTGTTATCATATGATTTACTAAGAAAAACTATATAATCATTAATTATTCTTCGACTTTGACTTTGAATGATGATATGAGAATACGTCTAATTGGCAACACTGTTAAATATTTGGCACTTTCTTGTAGGACTTGACATCAAAAAACTACCTTTTATAGGAACCAATTTAGGTTGACACTTCTCTACATAATATTAATATAAAGAAAAGATTTTTTTCTGCACACCCATTTTAAAAAATCTTAACAATTAATTTTGAACCCTAATGTGTCATAGCTAATAACATATATTGTCTTTATTTTGAAAATATTAAATCATAATGCAATTGCCATACGTAAATGAAATATTTTTTAAAAAATTATTTAAATTTTCAAATATTATAAGACACGAAATTATTTTTGACTATTAAGTATCAATACAATTTTCTTGGTAAATAAATAAAGATTTAAAAAATCTATTTGCTATAAGAAATCTTAACATTCAGTGTTATATAATCTGTATTGGAACGAAACATCGTACAAATTTTAATACCTTACCTACCTTGACATAATTACTTTTAATGATTTAAATAATGGTTTATTTTTGACACCCATAAAAAACCTATCGTGTCAATAAACAATAAAGCCAGTTCCACAGATATGTGTTGCCAGAACAAAATATGGATGCGGTATTGCCAGCATTTTTTACATTTGATCATTGTTTTCCAACCTGATCGACATATCGTGCATTATATTTAAATAATTTAATACATATAAATTAATTATTAATCCAAAAAGAAAGGTGTATTATTTTTAGCTTGAAATATTATTATACTTATTTGATAAAAAAAGTAAGCAATTTAAGATAAAATATCTTCAATAACAAATTAATAAGCCCAAATCGATGTTATTCTTTAAAACACTACTGAGTTTTCTGTGTTAATGAAAACTGCAATACAGACAATTACCTGGTCATCGGTCTAAGAAAAAAATTGCTGCTAATACAAAACAGAAGAGTCTCATAGAAAACAAACATTCTTCCATAATATGAACACAACCAATTGTAAAACATCATCATTTTATTGAGAAACGAAACAAAAACTTCTCATCATTCCATGGATTCACCGTGCGGGTGCCGGGTCCATCGTTGCAGGGAGAGAAGCTTCAACAGTGCCTGGAACTTGCGACCCAGGTGTAGGTTTAAGGGGCTTGTCTCCACCGTCCAAGCTCTCCTCTCTACCTTACCAAATTTAAAATTTATTTATTTATTAATAATCTAACGAAGAGGAAGCTACTCCCTTCATAATTTGGAGAAATCCAGCTAACAGCTTAGATACAGTCTATAGTTTACAGGCGTCTGTAAATTTTCTATAATAATTACACTAAGAAGATATTTGAGCAACCCTTCCCAATACTCATTCCTCCATAAACTTATTGATTTCCGAGTATTTCCCGCCAATTTAAAATAAGCACAATAAAAATATTTTATGTCGCTTTAAGTTCCCATAATTGATAATCGAAATTAAATATTATGTGAATATAAAATTATGTTAATTGCTAATATATTTAGGAGTATAAAACAATATGACACGCAGTTTATGTTTGAAATTAATTCAGGATCATAAATGTTTTGATGATGTTAACATTTTAGAGCTAAGTATAAAATAAAATAAAAATATCAGAGTAAGCGATTTGTTACTGTTCTTTGCTTACAAACTTGTCATAATATAATATAATTTTGCCGTTTAAAAATCTTAAACTAAGTACGCATAAAAACTAAATAAACGAAAGCATTTTATTTAATTCAGTTTTTCAACGATAATTTAAAACATATTTCTCTGTTTTACTTCCATATGGTGTGAATTCTTTGTACCGTAACTATGTAATTATTTAACCCAATTAAATATCGTTTGTTCCGTTTATAAAATAAATATATCAATTAGGAACAAAACATTGTTATACTGAGAATATTTTTTTTTTATAAAACATTGCTATTAAAATATAACAAGACAAGGAAGTGCTTTAAAAGACCGCATTGTCTGAGAACTCTAAAAATTAAAAGCGAACTAAAACTCGTGGATACAAAGTGCGGTTACCCGGTTAGAACACGCCCGGGCAACGCAACTAGTTTAAAACGCCACTAACTTTTATATTTGGCAAAATAATTTATTAAAAAGTATTTAGTATAAAATCATGTCATCAATGACTAATGTTCTATATTCATTAATACTTATAGATTTTTTTATCATCTCAAATGCGACTCCAATATATTTAACAGACTAGTTTTTGAAAACTAATTCTTATCGAAAAAAGTGCAGTGTGGTGCTTTGAAGATATAGGCTCAGACACTCTTACGCCATCATGATAAATTTATTACAATAATTATTAAATTTTTTACTTGACACCATTGTAGAGAAACAAAACAAAGACAATAAAAAGAGGTGAAACAAGAGGTATCGCAACCTACTGGAGGTTTCCATTAGTCTTCCATAGACTATAGAACTTATTTTGTTCAAATATATAGATGTAGTCGGTGATACAAGAATGAACGAAATAACAATCAAATGAAACTCTGATACTTTGTGTACATTTTCTTTACATATAGATTTAATAAAAAATATACATATATACATATACTATTTATAACTATAGACAATTAAAATTATGTAAAGTTGTATTAGTTATCTGTTGATAGTAAATAATGTTTCACAGAACTCTTAAAATTTTTTCTACAATAGTCCAGCTTAATTTCTGGAAACTGTTTAGGTTTAGTTTATAATTATGAAGAGTATTATTATATTCTAGAGACGATAAAGTTAAGATTGTCATCGATCAAGTTATTGGAGCTTGTGTCAGAAAAGTCAAGTATATAAAAAAGAACACCTATACTAACATGAGTTTAATGGGAATGGCAAGAAAATGTCGCAGACGCCTTATTAGCTCAACGATTTATGAAAATATAGAGACTACAACTCCACTTAGACACACATACAGATAAGAAATTCTTGTTTTGGTTCTTGCTATGTCGTCGAACACAGAATAAATTTTGTAATGCCGTATAATTTTGTAATTTATCTCCCCCATATACAGACGTTTAAACTTTAAATCCCGCCTTTTAAAAGAACGCCTACAAATGATGTATCACATGTACGATCAAATTTCAATAGCACCTCCAATAGAAAATCACATTCCCCCCTAAACTGACTTCGAGCAGCCCCCACTTTTAACTTTCTGCCATAAGTGAAAAGTTTCTAACTTCTAAGTTGTACAATCTTCATACAAGCTCCTCCGTAAATGTGGTAATGATATTTTACATGAAAGAGTAAGCACAGTGCTGAACTTTAAATCTATGATTAACGCCATCTTCGTTTGCTGTACGATTGTTATGGCATTCTGTTTAGTTTAAATTTACGTCAATAGATAGAGTTGATTTCACTTCAAATATTGCTATTTGAAGCCTATTTAAGTGTATCATAGATATATTATTATTTATTTTGTATGAAATAATAAATAAATTAAGAGTATGAAAAAAGTATAGTGTAATATATTCATCTCATTAATTCCTATTTACCTTGTTGGTCAATTGAAATTTGAATGTCAATTGTCAGTGTCAGTGAGATATTCAAGACCATTACTGAATGTCAGTAAATGCATAATGTTCTATTATTCTAATTGTCAAACATCGATATGTGTTCGGTTATTAAAATTTCTATGAGAATTCGATATATTGATATATGTTACGATTTCCTCTAATTTCCATAGTGCTGCGGTCCATGTTCCTAGCAGTTTAGTTATAATTTGAATATGGCTCAGACAAATATAGATGAAACTGTTGCCAAATATGAACGTTTTATAAACGATGTGTTGAAAGAAGATTTGCGAATATTGCATCTGAAGCTACAACATGTGAACGCTGAAGTTTCTGATTTGATACAGCAAAAACATACATTAAAAGTGCTACTGGACAAAAATGTGCACCCAAACGGATTTAAATCTCAAGTTAATATAGGATGCAATTTTTTTATGGAAGCCACGGTGACGGACACTTCACGATTAATTATGAATATCGGACTAAACCATTATTTAGAATTTTCAGTCGAAGAAGCACTAAAATACTTGGATGCTAGAATTAAAGCTTATGAATTAAATTCAGAAGAACTGTGTAATAAGGCTGCTGAAACAAAAGCACACATTAAGTTGATGTTGTTTAATGTTGGTGAACTAGAAAATCAAAAATACACTAAGAAAAGTTGATGTTTGTGAAAATTATAATTATTTGTTTGTTTTATGTGTAAATTATGCTAACATATCCAATAAGCAAAATATGAAAATACATTTTATAAATTTATTATTTTTTGGTTTTTCTCCAATCCATATTCATAAAAATCCTATCTCTATTCTTGAAATATTAATAACTGCACTTCTAATTTCTAGTGTTATTTAATAAATCTATAATTAGCAGAACTAACAAAATATATTGCCATGCTTTCTACGATCATGAAAAAAAAACTATAATTTATCAATATAGCGAATAGAAATGAGTATATTTCTTTATTAATAGTTTCTTTGTGTTTCTTGAAAGGGCAATGCGAAATTTCTTTGTTAACACTTTGTTAAAATAATGCACTGCTATCTAATATACCTTATAAACTAAGGGTTGTGGTAATTTTTAAGTTCTAATTAAAATATTAATACAAAAAATGAAAAGTGTCGCTCATGCCTAAGCTCATACAATTACTTATGGGTACTGTTATTATTCATTAATAAAATTTCATCAATTCAATACTCTTAATCAGGTGGCACCTAATAAAATAAATGTGAAATGAAAGACAAAAATAATATATAATTATATATTAAAAAGTATCCAGTAAAAAGGTTTTACCAGGTATTTATACTTATGATTCTAATTAAGACTATATACCTATTTACTATGAAAATAAATTATTTTCAACTAAATTAAAATTCGCTTCTCTCAAACATTCAAAACTTAAAACCCCTGAAAAGTAACTAAATCATTTAAAACAATATTTTGGAAATAAGGTAATGTTCTCACGCATTGTAAATAATTTTACAATGAAATAGTGTAAATTTTATAATTAAATGATATTATGTTGTGTGAATTTCACCCACATTTTGAGAGTTTTTGTTCCAAACTGACTCATTTGAAATGACAACACCGACCACTATACATCTGGAACTAAAGAAAAATCACCTCAAAAGTTAGAGCAACATACAATAGGTTCCTTTAATGGTCAAATACAAGATTGAGGGATTAAGAAGTTGAAATAATTCATAAGATTACAGTTAACTACACAGAAAACTACTTCAGTAGAATTTTAGCATTTGAAATCAGACTCAATTGGTTTTATTAACTTTTCCACCACTAGCTGGTTCTAATAGCTAAAACTTCTATTGACCTGACAGAGTCCAATAAAAGTGGGTTCTTTATTTATGATCTTATCCTTGAAATTCGAACCCATAAGTTATTCTCGTCGTCGAAAAGTAAGGGTAGTAGAAGGCTGCCTCGAAGGAACTGGACTTCTGCCTGAGATAAAGCTATCGGGAGGAGAGAGTGAAAGCTTAGACTATAGGCCAACGTCCAGCGGCAGAATGAACGAAAAATGGTAGCATCGCCTTCGATGGTGATAAGTGTTAGTATGTTCAATATTAGTGATTGTGTTACCATCCTTTTTTGTCATTAAAATCTAAGGGCATGTCTTATGATTTATGAATGACTTAGTTTTAAATAAAACAAATAATATTCCTAAAATACCTAATTAACGGTTGGATTCGGAGCCATTCCCGCGGGTTTGTAATATATTTGATCGGAATATCTTCCAACGAATAGTTGGAAGAAAGAAATCTCTATGGAGATCGGAGTGTTTGATGAATGAAGTTGCACATATATAATGTACATTCCTATACAGAAATCCATTTCTACTTGAGTACCAGAATGGTAATGAGAATTGAGGGGATGTATTTTGCAAAGCTCGCGCTTGCTTAAAGAGACAAAATAACAAGAAACCATTTTAAACCCGACTATTGTAGCAAATACTTATTTTTTTCCATGGAATAGATTTTGTATTCGAGTTTTAAAAAATATTTTATTATAATCGATATAGCATTAAGGGCGTAAGTACTTTCACGTGTAAAATTTATAATTGATATGGATTACAAAACTTTTAATAGCGAAAATAAAAACACGGAGATGCTCATTACTCATTATCTTTAAATTAAGGAATCTAATTAGATTGTAATCAACATCAGAAAGAACAGATTGTAGACACGGCCGTTCTGTTTTGCTTTTCAAATTTTGCAAACCTTGATTTTTTAAAGTAAATATAAATATTTTAAACTTAAATAATCTGAATAAAACACCTTATGTTTAACTGGAGTAAAATATATTTTTTTATATTTTAGAACATTAGAACAAACTTAAAGATATATTTTTTGGCGGGTGCACTTGTGCAACATAGGTATGGATTTTAGTTTGACAGTTAGTTCGACTGAAGAAATTGTAACTGATTAGAAAGGCAGTAGTTCAACGAGCAGTTTATTTCGAACTACCAATGTATTTATTTGAATGAGGGTATAATGCCTTTTAAAAACTAAATATATTTTGTTTAAATTAAAAATATGGCGGAAATAACTTTAAAAATTCAAGACCAAGTTTTTAATGTTAATAAAGAAACATTGTGCGAATACAGTGATTATTTTCGGGCTATGTTTAGTGGAAATTATGCTGAAAATGAACAGCAAGTAATTTCTATTGATGTAAGTAAAATAATCTTTTTTACAAATAATGTTTATTTTTATTTAATTATTTGTTATTCTTTCTTACAGGTGCTAGATCCTAATATAATGAACATTATAGTGCAGTATATGCAAATCGGTTTAATAGATCTCTCAGAATTAGATTTGCCTACTATTGGTGATATAGCGATAGCAGCAAATTTTCTACAAATAACCGAATTGCTTAAACAAATTGAGTATACTTTAGATTTGCAAACTTGTGAATCTAATTTCATGGAAACAATGGCTATAGCTGAAACCTCAACGTTTAGGAAATTAGAACAGTATTCTGCAGCTTATGGACTGTATGCATTTAGATCAATGAAGCCAGAATATATACCAACTATTCATAAACTTGCTTGGTATTTATCACATCCATATTTGGATTGTCAGTCAGAATTGGATGTCTTTAAATTTGGATTTCAGTGGGTGTTGAAAAATGAAACTGGTGCTGATGCTTTACTAATTATTCTCGGCTGTTTGGATATGAAAACTATGAGTAGTAATGACTTTGAAGAAATGAAAGTGTTGATGAAAGACTTTGAAAACAGTTTAGCAGCAAAAGTGATTGAGTGTATCTGTGAATTATTAAAAATGGAAGAAGAAATATCGTTGGAGGTATTAGATATGCATAAATTGGATGTATTAGAAAAGTTCAATGAAAGAGTGTGGACTGAAGTCAAAAATATTGTTAAAGAGAGTAAGACTCGACTTTTAAAATATACTCCATTAATTCCGATGTGGTTACTGAAAGATTCAAAGCCAGAATTTCTGCCACATTGTATGTACACATATACTAAAGACAATGGATTTGAGAAATGGTTAGAAGTGGCGGAGAAGAATTTATGGGGTTGGAATGTAGTTGCGTGGGGATTGACAAAACTTGTTATTGTTTGTGGTGAATATGGAAGAGGCACTGGGACATTCATGAAGGATGTTAAGGTTTATGATGTATTGAGGAAAGAGTGGACGAGGCATGGTGTTGATTTACCTCCTAGAAGGCACAGTGGTGTCGCCGTTGTTGGAGATTCTCTGTACATAGTTGGTGGCGTAGGTGGGTTTAGGTTAGTTAATTCATTATAATAAAAGATATATGGAAATTTAGATACATACATTTCTTTGTTTGATTCAGTATTCATGATGAATTTCCTTTGTTTCAGGGTTGTAATGGATACAGTTATTATGTATGACTTAAAACAACGTTCATACAGGAAAATTGCAAAACTTCCAGATGCTATACAAAACCCAGCGGTTTGTTCACATGAAAATAGGGTTTATGCCGCTGGACAGAAGAATATTTATCGCTATGAGGATCTGGGCACTACAGATACGTGGAAAAATATTGTAGGGACCGAAATCAGAATGAGTTGTTTGAGGTCTTTCAAACAATACATATATTGCATGCAAGGATACTTTAGTCACCTATACAGATTTCGGCCAGATGTTGACCAAAGATTAGAACTTATTACATACTTCTCTAATCTACCGGCTACTATGTGTAATTTAGGTGAGATTATTTAATCAATATTTATATAAAAATTTACTTAGATTTTTTTAAAATGTTTAATATGTTTCAGGCGACAGTCTTATAGTATTCACAAGAACTGTTTGTGGTCAATGCGATATTTTGGCTGTTGAGGAATATAGAGCAAAGTCTAAATCGGAAAAACCAAGGGTTTTAGCAACACTATCAAAAACTTCCATGAGAGTGAATGATGTAGCGGGATCTTGTGCATTAGTAATGACAGTACCACCAGTTAAGTCGCAATTATCTCAGTACCAGGAAAGATATTTAACAAGATACATTGAACCAGTATGAATTCTTAAATATATGTATATCTGTATAATATTTATCTTAAGTTTAATGGTTTATAAATAAAAAACATGTTTGTTATTAATTTACATTTATTTCGACATTCATTTACAAACATACTATCTGTTTGTGTACATACATTTGTACATTATTATTAAAATATGTTTTGTTAATATTTAAATTAACTTGTTACATTATGATAGCATTATATGCGATTTCAATGAGACTAGCGGTCAACAATCAATAAAATAAATCTTTGCATATAATAGATATACATTTTCATGCAAGTATTCAAGTTATTTCGTCTAAAAACAAAGTTAACCGACGTTGGTGTTAAACTATGTTATGTTATTTACAATGAGTAAAACTTAATAGAAGCGATTATTAATATGTATTAACATTAAGGCCACTCATAATGATTATTCTATATATTATATCAAGCACCATTTAATATTGTAATGGCACTATGTATTTATCTCTTACAGTACTAAAATTATGTGGCAGTCATACTAAATCATAAGCTCATTCAGTTCAACTGTCTGTTGTATTTGTATAAGCATTTCATTTATAAAAAAATATTGCATAATGTAAAAATATATTTGTCATATACATTAGTGTTCGAGACATTAATATATTTAATAAGGCGATTTACCAGTCTTTCATAGTATAACGGACTTGCTCACACATAAGATTTCATATATGATATAAACGCATTCGGTAATAATAAAAAAAAGTTGAAGTTATGTAATAGAAATAGTACTGAATTAAATCTAATAAAAATCTATAAATAAAAAATATTTGTATTCAATAAAATGAAGAAATACCATATCAAAATCTATCACCGTTTGTGACAACCTTAAATTTTATTGTGCTGTTTCTAAAGCAGTGGTATATGTATAGAGTTAATATTAAAATATTGGGTTTTTTATATATTTATGTCCAACCGCCAGTTAGTTTATGGAACAATTCTTCGTCTAGGGTCTGATTCGCGTCCTTTGACCTCATGGAAAGAAAGATGTAGCCACCAATGAATTCGTGCACGACTTTACAATCAGCTGACTGTACAGAGAATATAATGTTGCCCTCCTCAAATTGCACCATCATATGTTTTATCTCCCAATTAACGTTCCAAGCCTGAAATAGTTTTATTAACATTAAGTACTCTGGATTTTTAGAAATTTTTAAAGGTAGAGTAATATTGAATTATTAAACAAAACTAATATTTTTCGGATTATGTGACATTCACATCTCGTCTGTATAATCACGGTTGTATATGAATGTTCACCCAGCAGTTTTCGGCTATAGTGACTTAGCTCTGTTTTATATTGTTAAAAATAGGTAATATTTAAGACCTACGATGCGACCTCACATGACTAAAATACCCAATTTTAGCACTAAACGTGCGACCACAAGTGTCGCAAGTCAGTGTACCATTTACATAATTGTATGTTGTATTAGCAGGTGGACGTGCTTTTATTCGGTCGCGTTTGCAAAGTAGCCGAAACGAGAGTACATATATAGTTTTTTACGAAAATAAAGTCGCGTAGTATAATCCGAAAAATATTAGTTTCAGATAAATGAATAAAACTCGCGAAAATCTTAGATCTCATTAATATTGAAGTATTTGCTTGCCATAAAAAAAATATCTGTTTTTAATTAATGGATACTACTTTTTAAACGATACTTATATGTACTAACAATCATTTTAAAGGTTTTGGTTATCCTACTAATATTATAATTGCGAAAGTTTGTGAGTGTGTGTCTATGTTTGTTACTTCTTCACGCTCAAACGGCTGAACCGATTTTGTTAAAATTTTGTATACAGGAAGCTGACGTCCAGGAATAACACATAGGCTACTTTACATCCCGGAAAATGTTCGACCTGATAATCCACGGGTAACACCGTGGGGGGTAGCTAGTCTAAAATATATATATTACCTTCATGGTACTATATCTCCATGTTTTAATATGATCTCCAGTGCTGGGGTCTAGACGCATGATGCGGTTGTTCGCTATGGATATTATCTCGTCTTTGCGATGCCCCATGAATCTAACCACGAACAATGTCTGGCCATAGTCTGGCAGATTCTGCCAGGTCTTGATGTACTGGAGTTTTGCTTCCAGAAGTGATAGGTCTTTCACATTCGCATGACTCTCCAGCACTCGTTGGGTAAACTGAAGTATTATTTATTAAATTATTAGTTAATCATAATATGGTTTATAATATAAGATTTATCATGATAAATTTACTTGCGAAAAAAATATTATGAATTTTATTCTAAATGTAATGTTGAAAAGAATGATTTTGGTAATATAAAGTATGACAATATATTTTTTCATTATAGCATAACTATTCACAACATGTAAGGCAGACCCTGGCTATAGCCGGGAAATTGCCAGGTAGAAGAAGAAGAAGAAGTGAACTAAGGTCATAAAAGTAGAACAAATATTCGTCATTATCTCACCTTTCCTTTAAGTTTCTTAAGGAACCTGCCGGCCAAGTAGTTCTCTGGTTGCAAGTGGTCCAAATGCGGCAGACTGTGTTGGTTGAGGGCCGCGGCCGGTTGAGGTCTTTGGAGCGCCAACAGGGACCTCACAGCGGCCGCTTCACTGGCGAACGAAGAATCAGCCAACGACCTTCCTCTAGAACCAAGACGACACGCAGCCACCCACTCGGCGTATTGATCCTCCTTGAATGTTAAAAAAATATATTACATTATCTCATATTACAAGTAGCGCCCTCTGTGCAATTCAATTATAATACACTAAAATCCTTAGAATTATTTTCACTACCGATTATAGTACTGGATTATTGTAATTTTGTAATGGCAACATTTAAGTATCGACATGTATTTGAAAACTATAAACACTGAATTCGACCATTTTGTAGGACATTACTGGAAGTAGCTGAATATTGAAAAACAAATCTGGAGCTGTATGCTTATTCGTAACGTAATTATGAACGAAAATAATCTATTAGCATTTCTAGTTGATCATATTAGTGAGGACGCCTTGCAAAATTCGCTTGAGAATAGTTTGGAAGGCGCTTTAAAGTTTAAATTTTTAAAATTTAAATTCATTGTTCATGATAAGGCAGAATGAGAAGTATCTTATGTCAATGGGAAACGACTTTTACGATTTCATATATGCATACGTATAAATAGTACATATATGTAAGTTTGTGTGTAATGATTGTATCTCTTTTACTAATAACATTTTCAGTCTATTTTGTTGACCCAAAAGACTAGTTTTGTTTCTGTGACCGATTTATTTACCTTCATGGTCGGCTAATTTTTTTTTTTATTATGATGGCGTTATTTTGATATTTAATATATTTTTTTAATCTTACATAGCAGTTATATGAAAAATTTTCACATCTATACTCATATATTTAAGACATATATCCAAATACTAATAATAACATATACTTACAGTTTCACATTTAAGCCACATCTCGTGCATAGAATCTTCAGAGGGTATCTCGAGTTTAATTCCGTATCGCCCTGAAGCGGGGTGTGCGTCCGGTGTTACCTGTTATAAAAAATATAATAATTACAACTGGGAAATCTCCTTACATTTGTGTTTGTTTACCCAATATTCAGGGGCCATCTGAAAATCAGTGCTATGCATTAGCACAGCTTATATTGAGATGAACACCTTTGCTCCTACACTGTTCTTTAAATTTATTTTTTTTCTTCTGTATAATAATCTATGTACTGTATGTGTGTAGCAAAGAAATGGTTTTTTACTATTTAATTTATAATGAATGAGTCCTAAGTATACTACCTCTGCGCCCCGGAGCTCCACGGCGTATGAGGGCGCGTCCCCTCTCCCCGCGGCCTCTTGTGATGAATGCACCCTCAACACACCGTCTCTACACGACACCCAGCCGCGTTTGTACGCACGTAGTGTGAAACGCTGACGACTAATGATATAAAACAAAAGATTAAAATTTACCTATTTCTCATGAAACAGATTCTAGTTTAATAATAATGGGTAACAATATTGATAAAATGGATCTAAATATGATGCAAAAAACATTTTTTATTTGTTCCTGTAGCGTTATTAGTTTTGTTCCTGTAGCGTTATTTTATCTCTGCTTTCGGGTTAAGTTCTAGTAAAGGTCTAAGAATGTCGAGACTTGTTGGTTTATTTTAATAGGGCTAATATACTCAAAATAGTTTATAAGTAGCCGATGTTTCTAAAATGTTTTCTTTTAAGTGTTAAGTATTTTGAATATTACACAAAGTATCCTAAACATTAAATATATTTTAATTATAATAATTTGAATACTTTTTTTTCTGAAAAACGTTTCAGGTTAAATTATATACACAAAATTCTTTCTAAATCTATAATATACAGTCTACATACGTTTTTTAGATATTGTGTTTGAGCAATATTTACATGTGTATTGTATATACATACATACAAAAATTATATACACATACATAAAACTACTCATATATACATAATGTTAAATAAATTAATTCACACTTTACAATAGTAATGTTAATTACATGTTATAAGTGTTTCATGTTAATGCCAATCGAAGTAAACTTTTTACACTGTGGGTCCTCTACATGCATTTGTTGGGGTAAATAAAAATTCTTACGAGATCAAACAGCTATCGCTATGACACGCCCTATTACGCGAAAGAAGAAACATACAATTAATATAAAATACATAAATAAATACATCAATATACAATATTTTACTAGAACAAAACTATTAAGAAAATATTCCATATTTAAACTTTACTATTGGCTATCGCCAGCGTGTTTACATAATTTATCTTGTTTCATTGGCAGCAATATATAGAATTATATGCGTGTAATATAAAAGGAGGAAATTGTATGTACACCTACCCTCTGTATTTCAAATAACCCGCCAGTTCAGGTACGTGTGTTATATCAGGGCGGGCTGGTGGGCCACCCTCTAATTGCACTTGTAGTTCACTGAGAGCGGCGTCAATGTCGTCTTCGGGGGCGTTTGATACGTCTTGAGAGCCATCGTTAGCATTCACACCGCCACCGGCTAAAGTCTGCAGCTCGATTTGAAGCTGGGAAATGAAAATAATATAATGATAAATACTTTAATAACAAAATAAGGTCATTAATTTAATTTTCTATTACTAACTTTAGCTCTAGACGGCGTAAAATTATAAAAATATAATGCTTCAGAACAGAATAACGTCTTTAATAGAGTGTTAATCTTTTTAGACCTATACGGCGTAAAATTAAATGACTAAGTATTTGATAACATTTTAGATATATTATTAAGTAGTTTCATATTACACGACATATTCTTATTGAATCGGCAACCTATTGAGGTTTTAATTAAATTAGTTCTATTTATAGCAAAGCTTTTACTCAATCCATATTAATTTCTTAGACATCTCTGCAATTAACTAGAAACACTAACAGTCACTGAATTAAATTTATACCTGATAAACAAGAACATTATTAATTTCTATGGACTATATATAAAAAAAATACTCAATAAATTTGGATTATCTTTGGAAAAAAAAAATTAAAATGAACTGTAAGTCTTGTTTCATAGTAAATATTTTTTGTACGTATATACCTCTAGTGAGCAAGCGTGGTGATTAATGCTCAAACCATGTTTGGCCTTTGCTCAGCAGTGGCTAATAGGCTGATGATGAAAATGTACCTGTAGTGCTGCAAATAGAAGCATTTCTTCTTCGGTGCAATGAACTTCTTGGTTGAGGATCTGCCAGCGAGCTTGTTGGTACAGCTGGTTGAGGCGAGCGGCGTCTTGAGGCCGGGCTGACAGCTCGAAGAAGGAATAGAATTTGAAACGAAGCTGGAGAGTGTCCCATTCACGGACGTATTGCTCCATTATAGACAGAGATGAATCCAACCAGCTAGAAATAAAATATGTTTTATTGCAAAAACTTTATTGCATCAAAATTGCAAAAAAAAAAAAGTTATCGGGTAAAAAACATAGATAAATTTAACGAAAATTGTTGTTATAGTAATATTTGTAATCAATGGCACATAAGTTATTTATTATGTATATATTATATTGAAAGTCAGTGGTGGCCTAGTGGTTAAAAAGCCCGCCTCTCATGCACGAGGGCGCGGGTTCGTTCCTGGCCCTGGCAAGTACCAATGTGATTTTTCCGAGTCATATGTACTTTCTAAGAGTATTTAGACATCACTGATTAATGTTGATTCCCAAAGAGGGTTTATGTCAGTCAGGCGGCCGGTCGTAAAAACAAATAGCCAAAAAACTATTCACAACATGTAAGGCAGACGCTGGCTATAGCTGGAAAACTGCGAGGTAGAAGAAGATTATGTGGAATATTTACCCAACGTTCATTCTGGCGCGTTCCATAAGTGATTTGGGTGTGATGAGTGATTCCTTTGACTGGCTGTCTGGTTCCAAGGGTGAATCAGCCAGGGAGAGTTCTGAGAGGGAGTCCAGGGCGTCCATAGAGGCAGCTCGTGGTGGGGTCCCGCAATAACCACCATCACTTGAGCCATCGCTCTGAGTACTGTATATATGACCACCATAGCGACGCAATGTGCCATTCTAGAATTGTTTTACAGTATTAGAATATTTGCAACTAAATATGTTCATAATCACAAGTATGCAAAATACTTATTCTAAACTAATGCAACATAGTATTGATAAGTTTAATATTATTGATGCATAGCTTCTATCACTATGGATGAGAATACTTTAAATGGAATGAGAGAAGTTAGCATTCGCTAGCAATTTATCTTTGGTGCCTTAAGGATCTACATATACAGGGTGACTGGTGAATTACTATCGATACTTGAGGACGTGAGATTTGACGATCATATATGACAAAATTAAAATTAATATAACATAAAGATTAATAAACTTCTAAGTAAATTTAACCAAAAGTTATGTAATTAATTACGCATTGTGTGAACACCCTACAGATTAGGTATACACACACAAACACGCGTGCGGCGGCGTGGTGTTGTATCAGCACGCCGCCGCACGCGTCCACACTTGGAACACTTGGAACGTGTCCACACTTTATTTATTTATACGGAAATTTGGTCAAAAATTAAGTACCTATTTTTTTTACATAATTCGAATGAGAATCATGTACCGTGTATTCTCCTTAAATATTGATAGTAATTCACCAGTCACCTGTATAAAAATTTTGATAACTAAGTTTGCAAAAAAAACTATTACAATTTACATAACATACTTCTATCCATCTGTATCCATAGAATTTATAATATTACCTGTTGGGATGCAACAGGTGTGGCTGACAAAGATCGCGGCGGAGGCGGCGTGGCCGGACAAGCTAGTGATCTGTCTAAGCTGTTTGAAGAGCCTCTCGTGGCCGCTATAAAAGTATTAGTGTCTGGCGGCTGAGTGCCCTTGATCCTCTTAGCTTCCTTCAAGTTCTGATAATTCTGTTTCAAGTGGGATTGTTCGAGGGGATAACACAAAGACAGTTCTTCCGGATGACGTATACCTATAATTATAGACCTCTATATCAATATCTGTAGAATGAGTAGCATATACTACAAAGATATTTACTTACCAAGACTTTTGCAGAGTTGTATAACAGCACTGAACGTGTCTATTGAGAAATCTATTTTGCAATCGATGTATCTCAAATCTGGTAGTTGGATTCTCAGTGGTTTGTGCATGGGCGTGAAGTGGAGTGCGGCGTCAGCGTGAACACCGTACTGGTCCAATGTATGTTTCGGTCTGGATAGCCATTTGTTGCGAGTTGGCCACCATAAAGCGTGGTCCGACCAGTCTTTCTTGAACTCTGAAATCATTATAATGCAATTATATCCGAGGTCTCTTAACAGTGACTGAAATGTGATAGATAGATAATTTCGCATTGGGTCTAGTTGATAGAACAAAATTTTTGTTTTACGTCGTATACTCTTAGTGCTTCTTTAATAATTCTTCTAATCAATACCTTTTCGATTCATACTTTTGTTATAGTTTCTACATTGATATTATAATTTTGTATTACATCACCAAGCGTCCGATATGAATCCTTTGATTGTGTGTTATAATAATGACAAATAATAAACCTATGTATATGATTTGACAATCATTTGTTAAACGTTCTAAGATTTAGAGTTCTTCAATCCCCATATTGGTGATTTAAATGAAACCTCCTAAGATTAATAACCAGTAAGAAGACATTGAAGTATTAAAGAGATATTGTATTACAAAATCATGCACACGCAGAACGGTATGACTCTGGAACGAACGACAAAAACTAACATCATCCGGTTATAGCAAACAAAAAAACTCAAGAGCCCTTTGTGACGTAGAGAACACTTGAAGGGATAATTTAATATAAACGCATATGTTCTACAAGATCCTCTTGTACGACATAAATTTTAGTATATCTTTGACGATCAAATTTATTAGGAAAAAATACATTTTACAGATATGGTCATAATTACGGAACATTCTGGTATTTTTATTACATTAACTATATATTTACAACAGCTTTATGCACGTGTCTTTCATGAGTAATTGCTCATTAAGTTTCTCGTCACCAACTACTAACAATGTACAGTTACAAAAACACAGTTACTCTTAAAAATTACTCGTTACAAACGTACGAAGTTTACTTTGTAATACGTCTCGTTATTTTGTAATTTACATTTCTTTTATATTTTATATATGTTTTTAGGAACAACATACATTGATCTAGACTTCTGTATCATGTATTGATTGACTTACCTACTAAAGTATATAAATCTGTTGGGAAATACTAGTATTAATGTATATTATGATGTTTTTGCTGACTGTTGGGTACATTAGCGACGTGAGTCATAGATCGTTCAACTAAAATCTATGAAGTATACGTTGTAATCAGTTTGTTCCTTCATAATTATTCGATGACTAATATGTTTGATGACATCCATCCATATAAATGTATATTATACTATATTTAAAATATTCTAATCCTAACATAACAGGACCATAATGAAATCGTAAAACCAGTTGAGAATTTTAAAAAGTGTTTCTAATCAAATTAGTGACGATCTTAGAAATGTACGTCACAATAGCTAGCCAGATTTCGTAATATATCGCAATATTTGTTTACTTAATAATTAATATGTATATAGAACTATCTATTTTATATAAGATATATTAATACTATCATCTTTTATGTATATAAGAATGTTGTAGTCAAATTAATCAATACTAAGATTCTGCGAACAGACAACAGTGTGGCCTCGAGAGTAAGAAACCGTTAAGATGAGTCATCACACTGAAATATTTTGGTATTTAAGGATTACTAAGTTCAGCAGACACAAAGGAGGGTAACAATAAAATTTTAATGTACGAGAGTTAAATACAAAAATACACAGTACTATTGAACTTAATAATACTGATTCATCTTTAAAAAATGGAGCAATATTTCATCCACTAAATGAGACACAAATCTTTCACTTTCCATTCATAAATCATCTGATAAATTTACGTATAAAATCTTTGAAATGCCTTTAACCTTTTCTTAATCAGTCAGAAAATACTTTGAAATGAAGTCATCATATTATTATTTAAAAGAAATCTTATTACTTTAATATAATACTTATTTTCTTATGTAAATTATTCTCTCTAACGCGAAATATGGGGAAGAGTAACCATGTTGTAAATATACAGAGGACTGTTCTCTAATCTTGAATAGCTATATTTGTACCTTAAATTGATAACCTCACAATACTTGAACACAGGTCTCGTAACCCTTGATTTTCACTTTATAAATATGTATATATTAATCATATTTCATTGTTATTCATATTAAATATGTAGTTCGTACTTTTGCGGTCAAATTATGAATCACTTTGATGATTTTCGTTTTTAAATCACGTAACATTGTCGCCATGACTTGGTGCTACTATTTTCCTCTTGTCTTGTATAGTTGAATGACGCTTAAGGTTTTGCCCTACATTCATAGCTACAGATTAGAGTATTCTATAAAGTACACTTATAATAGGAATTTTTATTGCACATAGAAGTGGCCAGAAATGTTGTTTTAAAACACATTTTTGGTTAAAATTAAGAAAAATAATGATATAAATATCTTTTTCTTAATAATTTATAAGTTTCAATTAAATTCAAACATTGTTATATACTTTCACCGTTAAATTTATATTGTTTAAAATTAAATTAAACACCCTACTGTAGCCACAAATGAGAAGTTTCTCTTGCGAGACAAAATCCAAGTAACAAAAGTATTTCAAAGAATAAGGTTGTTTTTTTTCTGAGTTTGCTGTCGTCATGGTTTAAGTTTAGTTTCTTTAATCGCAAAAAGATATTGCTAAAGAAAAACAATTACAAACTTCTAAAGACTTGACGGTTGATTTAACAATTCTTTTATATTTTAGTGGAATTGTTTCTAATAGAATTGATTTTCCTTTAATAATATTTTATTCCAAAGAAATTTTGCTACCAGGTCCTACACAAATAATAATAGTTTAGATTCCGCGTATTAACTTTGAAGATTATTTTAGTCAATTGATGCGACTTTTTTTCGTCTAAAATCAAAAATATTTACAACATAATATTTCATACATATGTCCTATTAAAATACTAAATGATGAGTTCTGTTGTCCAGTTACTTTACAAAGCAATCTTTAAGATATCGATCGTAGTATTTTAATTAGTTCCTATGTAATTAATGTTGTGGTTGGTATTAATTAATTATTCCAATAGACGCTCAACTGTTCCTTAAATGGTGGCGCCAATGCCGAGGTGCAAAATGGCCTTACCACTTCTTAGATGAACCAAGATACATTATGTACCATATGTATATATATTTAGAGTTTAAATTGCAATGGTTATAATGGTTGTTGCCAATGTAACATGCACTATATAATCTGTAAGGATTTGATTATTTTTACATATGTTATCTCTCGTGGTACTCGATACTCAGTCACTTCTCAGAATACGTCAATCATTCAATTCATATACAATTTAGTTTTAAATAAACTTTTATACATATTTTCATATTGTACTTTATAGATTTATTTACGTTAAGGAGTGATTTTTACGTATTTTTAACAATTACATGTCACTTAAACAACTAAACATAACTCCATTTATGCTATATTGGTTTATCTTAACAGATAGACGTACGTGTTAATTATTGCTAATTATATATATATTTATATATCTTTTTATTCTGATATATGTCGTCGTATGTGGGACGTGTATTTATATGTCGTTTCCTGTGTCTCGTCGGAATACTTTAACGATATCGCGGACATAATTCATAATGATATACCAGCAATCACACGTCGGTGCATAATTTAGTATTCTTGATTATTATTATGATATTAACATACTGTAGTTATCACGCGTCTTCGTCTGTCATGAGTTTTCTAAAACATTTATTTTATGTTTCAATTTTAATATGTATATACATATATTTGGATTTCACGTTATTAGGGTGATAGATGAGAAATAGAAGCGATTGGAATTCAAAAAAATATGTTTTATTATGAAGCTGAAAATCTTTGAAATAATATTATTGTATTTTAATTAAAAATATTGAGCATATTCTGTAGAACCTATACTTTCAGATAACTGTTTCTTATTCAAAATATTTGTAAGTCTAAATACTTATTCTCGTCAAATACGGGAATATTTAAGTATGTATATGTTATTTCCAAACCATATTCTTATAAATAAAACGTTCATTACTTTATCATCATATACATAAAACTATTAATAGATTATACTGAATATAAAATATTTGATAAATTTTAATTGTTTCTTAATGACTATGTGAATAACATTTGATAACTAATAAATAATCATATTACTATTAGTAAATAATTAAAAAAAAATATTATTTACTTATAATCTATAAAACTCTGTGTTCTGAAGTGCTACAGAATGATTGACTTATTAGTTAGTTGTCAAATGTAAAAAAAACGTTTGTATGGGAAATAGAAAAGCGCTGCTTTTAGGGTTTTCCCGGAAATGATTCAATTTTATTCAGCTTTTAAACCTTCCCTGAACCTCCACGAACATTTCAAGACTAAGATGAGGTAAATCTGTTCAGCGGTTCTCGAGTTTTAGTGAGACTAACGAACAGCAATTCATTTTATATATAGATTATTTTTAGACGACAGTATACAGCTAAAAATATATATTTTGGAGATGAAAATATATAGAAATGAAGTTAAAAAAATATAAATCTTTTGGTATTTCATTAGTTATTTGTAACAGACAGACGTCAAGTGTACACTAAATATAAACAAAACAAACATACAAAGCAATTAAAATGGCGCCGTTATCTGTCAGTGTAAATAAGTTATCGAGCTCAGACTCGTAAAACAAACGGAGTCGAGACATTTATTATGTATTGCGTTTTTGTTTACAAGATTTTTTTTTAATTCTAGAAACATGAATGAATGGTTTGAACTATTCATCCTTATAAATGAAAATTCATTCTTCAATGTAGCAAATATAAGTATTTTTCGCCTGAATTAAAATCTATTCTAAATTTTGTATTTAAAGTATACTATTGACATTTTCTCAAGAATATTTTCGCTAGTAAAGTCTAATCTTCTATAGGTATATATAAAAATGGATTGCTGTTCCTTAGTCTCGTTAAAACTCGAGAACGGCTGAACCGATTTGTCTAATTTTAGTCTTGAAATACTCCTGGAAGTCCAGGGAAGGTTTAAAAGGTGAGAAAAATTGGAATAATTGCCGGGAAAACCCTAAATACAGCCCTTTTCTATTTCCCATACAAACGATTTTTTGACATTAGACTTGACAACTAACTAATATGTCAATCATTCTGTTCGATTGAAACAGTAGAAATTTAATAAATACCAATACCGGGTTATTAAAGACG